TTCTTAGCCAACACCATAATTGAAAGGCGTCAATTCTTCTTCAGTCTTTGTCTTAGTTATCTAGTGCTGCTATAACAGCTATGCCACAAGTGGATGGCTTTAAAACAGAAATTTATTTTCTCACAGTTTAGGAGGCTAGAAGTCCAAATTCAAAGTGTCAGCTCTAGGGGAAGTCTTTCCCTCTCTGTCGACTCTGGAGGAGGTCCTTGTTTCTTCAGCTTCTGCTTCCTTGGAGATTTCCATGTGTCTTGGCATCTATCTTACCCCATCTTTGTTTCTTTCGCTTGTTTGTTTAATCTCTTTTATATCTCAAAAGAGATTGACTCAAGACACACTCTACACTAATAACTGGAGCCCTGGTGGCTCAGTAGTTAAGGGCTATGGCTGTTAAACATAAAGGTCAGCAGTTTGAATCCACCAGCTGCTTCTTGGAAACTCTGTAGGGCAGTTCTACTCTGTCCTATAAGGTCACCATGAGTTGGTATCAATCCGACAGCAACAGGGTTGTACAGATAATACTGTCTCATTAACATAACGCAGACAGCCCATTCCCAAATGGGATTATAACCACAGGCATAGAAGTTAGGATTTACAACACGTATTTTTGGGGGACACAGTTCAGTCCATAACAGTCCTCTTTATTCATTGTCCAGCTTTTGCCTGCATATGAGGCGATTGAAAATACCATGGCTTGGTCCAGGCTCACCTTAGTCCTCAAAGTGACATCTTTGCTTTTTAACACTTTAAAGAGGTCTTTTGCAGCAGATTTGCCCAATGCAATATGGCATTTGATTTCTTGACTGCTGCTTCCATGGGCATTGATTGTGAATCCAAGTAAAATGAAATCCTTGACAACTTCAATGTTTTCTCCGTTTATCATGATGTTGTTTATTGGTCCAGTTGTGAGGATTTTTGTTTTCCTTATGTTGAGGTGTAATCCCTATTGAAGGCTGTAGTCTTTGATCTTCATCAGTAAGTGCTTCAAGTCCTCTTCACTTTCAGCAAGCAAGATTGTGTCATCTGCATACTGAAGGTTGTTAATGAATCTTCCTCCAATCCTGATGCTTCGTTCTTCTTCATATAGTCCAGCTTCTCGGATTATTTGCTCAGCATACAGATTGAATAAATGTAGTGAAAGGATACAACCCTAATGCACACCTTTCCTGATTTTAAGTCATGCAGTATTCCCTTGTTCTGTTCTAATGACTGCCTTTTGGTCTATGTGCAGGTTCTACATGGCACAATTAAGTATTCTGGAATTCCCATTCTTCTAATGTTATCCATAATTGGTTACGATCCACACAGTTGAATGCCTTTGCATAGTCAATAAAACACAGGTATTCTCTATCTGGTATTCTCTGCTCTTAGCCAAGATCCATCTGACATCATCAACGATATCCCTCATTCCACGTCCTCTTCTGAATCCAGCTTAAATCTCTGCCAGTTCCCTATCAATGTACTGCTGCAACTGTTTTTGAATTATCTTCAGCAAAATTTTACTTGTGTGTGATATTAATGATATTGTTCAGTATGGAAGAGATCCATATTTGTGCGCATTCCAAAGAAAGGTGATCCAACAGAATGCAGAAATTATCAAACAATATCATTATCGAACTCTATGTATACAGGGGTCTATGTCACAGGAGAGGAACCCCTGAATTATGAATCTTGGAGCTTATATAGGACAGCTGGCAATGCTGCCCCTTCTCCCTTCTGGAGAGATAGAATGGCTCTTGCTCAAGAAAGTAAACAAATCCTCTCTAGGGAGAGGAGGGGAAGGTCACTAGGTTTATAACCGCTGGAATGTAAACAAATGCCTTAACTTCCAAGACTTGTTTGCCAGTTAATCATCCTTTGACTCAGGTGCCAGCCATCTTTGTTTGGAAATCCCTGTGTGGAAACATGAAAGTATTCATGAAGCACTGTTTCCCTACACGCATCTTCTGAATTAAAACATAATAGTCACCATCTTCGAGTGTCTGCGACATGCCTGAAACTTCATATACAGTGTTAACCCTGTCACGATAGATATTGTTATCCCCTTTGGCAGATGAGAAAGCTGAGGTACTCTCTGAGGTTGACCTTACACACAGCCAGGAAACTACCCCGGCTGCACATGGGGATGGTACCTTGTCAAGGTCAGCTCATAAGGGCAGGGCTGAGATGAGACCCCAGATTTGTGAAAGCCCCAAGCCCATGTTCTTTCCTCTCTACCACTTGCCCTCCCCAAAGTCGGTCAAATGGTTTAAACGTATTTGTCTTAGTTGCAGGGAAACTTTTGAAAAGGGAAGATTCCTTGGTTATTCATTGTATACCTACTATGCACCTGGCACCAAGTTGGACACCTGAAAATGAGATAATGAGATAGACATGATCTTTTGTCCTCATGGGATCCAGTCTCTAGGGAGAGGCAGGCATTAAACAAAGAACTACCCAGACAAAAGAATTGAAAGCAGGGATCAAACAGATAACTTGTGCACCAGTGTTCACTGCTGCATTATTCACAATAGCCAGAAGGTGGAGACAACCCAAATGTCCATCAACAAATGGATAAATAAAATGTGGTATATCCTTACAATGGAATATTTTTCAGCCATAAAGAGAAATGACGTGCTGATACAGGCTACAACATGAATGAACCTTGAAAACATTATGCTGAGTGAAATTAGTCAGACACAAAAGGACAAAGATGGTATGATCCCACTTATATGAAATATCTAGAATAGGCAAATGCATTGAGACAAAGGTTTATTAGTGGTTACCATGGGCTGGAAGAAGGGGGAAAATGGGGAGTTATTGCTTAAGGGGCGCTAAATTTCTTTTTTAGGGTGATGAAAAACATTTGGAAATGGATAGTGGTGATGGCTGCATAGTATGGTGAATATAGTTAATGCTACTGAATTATGCACTTTTTTTTTTAAACAATATTTTACTGTGTTTTTGGTGAAAGTTTACACAGCACGTTAGGTTCCCATTTAACAATTTCTATACACATTATTCAGTGACACTGGTTACATTTTTCACAATGTATCACCATTCTCATTATTTCCATTCTGGTTGTTCCGTTTGCATTAATCTAGCTTCCCTGCCCCCTTACCTTCTCATCTTTGCTGTATGGTAAATGTTGACCATTTGGTCTCATATAGATGATTTTTTTAAAGGAACACAGTAATCGTGTGTGATATTGTTTATTTTATGAGCCAATCTGTTATTTAGCTAAAAGGTGACCTCTGGTAGTGGTTTCAGTTCTAAGTTTAAAGGATATCTCAGGGCAACAGTCTCAGGGGTTCCTCTAGTCTCTACCAGTCCAGTAAGTCTGGCTTTTTTTTTGGGAATTTGAGTTTTGGTCTATATTTTTCTCCTCTCCTATCTGGGACCATCTATTGTGCCCCTGGTCAGAACAGTTGGTAGGGGTAGCCGGACAGCATCTAGTTCTGGTCTCAGGATAGATGAAGACGTAGTTCATGTAGGCTATTAGTCCTGTAGAGTAGTTTCTTCTTTGAGTCTTTGGCTTTCTTCTCTCTCTTTTGCTCCAGAGACCAATGATTGTATCATAAATGGCCACTTGTACATTTTTAAGACCCCAGATGCTACTCACCAAACTAGGATGCAGATAGCCAGATGCTCTTGTTAGAGCAAAAGCCCCTTTATGCTCTTTCCCAAGACCAGGAAAGAAAGGTGAAAATTGTGAGAAAACAAATTCAGGAAACTGCAAATTCTTTAGAATAAGGATTATGGTTCTTTAGCACAAAGGAGCCCTTGTGGCACAGTGGTTAAGTGCTCAGCTATTAACCAAAAGGTCAGCAGTTGAAACCCACCAGCCACTCTGTGGGAGAAAGATGTGACAGTCTGCTTCCATAAAGATTACAGCCTTGGAAACCCTATGGGGCAGTTTTACTCTGTTCTATAGGGTCGCTATGAGTCGGGATCGACTCAGTGGCAACGAGTTGGCTAAAGGGCAATAACCCAGCAAGTCATTGCCATGGAGGAAAGCAGCTGTTACTGATTTTTCTGTGTCTCGCACCTCCATGTTCACCTGAGTGTCAGCCTGGGCAGCCTGTCTGAAGGTTTCAAATGTAGGCATTAGGGCCACTTGCCTGACCCACAGACGGTTCACAGGAGGAAAGCCGTGCACCTCCAAAGAGGCTGCAAAGCACTCTGTCACTGTAACTCTAAGAAACCACCTCATCTTGGGGCCCACAGTCATAGCAAACAATTGTAATATTTACCAAGTATTTCTGGAAAAATGAGTGCAAAGTGCAGGAAATGCAGTGCAAATTGCTAGAACGCACTACATTAGCAACACAGGATATTTAATGAGTCTGGGAGGAGAGGTAGAAATTTCAGAAATATGTCAATTGTGATAAAGTAAACAAGAGGCTTCTCTCAATATTTCATTTTCCATAGGACTTTATTTCAGTCTCTGGTTATAACTAGAGCTAATATTCTTGAGAGAGATTCAGTTCTAAATATCAAAGAGGGGAGAATTAGGGGAAGAAAGGGAGTGACCATCGCTGGTGGGTCCTAACTAGCAGAGAGAATTGGGAGAACTAATGCGGTCCCATTTGAGGAAAATGAAAACTTCAGCTTGGTGTATTTCTGTGAAAAGTCTTTTGATACAAAAACCAGATCCTTGAGGGGAAAAACAACTAGCCATATATCACTAGATGGTTGGGCGCTACCCTGACTGTAGCTGGGGATGTTAACTTGTCAAGGTCAGGGAAATGTCACGGTCACTAATGCTTTTCTAATCTCAGACAGCCACGTTACTCCTTCTCTGGATCATGGGGGGGACATAGGAAATGGGCATCCACAGCCTTCTCCAGGTGGTTCCAAGTGGCTCCACCTAAACGCAACTCTTCACCAGTTCATTCCATGTTCAAATAAAGGTAGAAAGCCCACGGGCCACTAACCCAGAGGGCCCTCCCTGACATTCTCTGTTTAGTCAGGAGCAGGTGCCTGGAGCAGCAGAGTGATCACTTGTCCTCCTTTCTCTCCAGTCCCTGACAACATCATCTTGAAGGTCTTGACCAAGCGCCTGAACCAACAGGACTGCATTCAGAGAGGGTGGGTGATGCATGGCTACCCGCGGGACCTGGACCAGGCACACCTGCTGGAAAGCCTGGGCCACAAGCCCAACAGGTGAGCTGTCCTTGGCCAGAGTGCCTCCTGGGAAGGTCTCTGCCACTGAGTGCCCTTCCGCAGCCCTGGTAGACACCTTGATCTTAGCTCAGTGAGACCCATACTGGACTTCTGACTTATAGCATACAGTTTACAAGAGCTTTTACATGTTCCTAAAATGGAATGTCTCTTAGACTCCCACCCCTCACCCCCATGTGCCTGTTAACTAGGAGTCAAGTTTGGATTCAAATCCTGCCTTCCTTGTAGGATTGTTATGCGAATCAACTTATCTTTTCTTCTGCTATTTTTACAGCTTCATTTTTTACATTTAAATCATTGATGTAACTGATATTTATTTTGATGTAGGTATGCAGTATGAGTCTAATTCTTTTTCCCCCAGTTAGCTATTTATTCCAAAACCAATTGTGGAATACTTGGTCCTTCCTCCACTAAACTGAACTTTAGAGCATACCACAATTATATATATACTTGGGCTATTTCTGAACTTTCTATTGTTTTCCACAAGTCTAGTTCTGCAGTAGTACTACACTGTTTAACTATTTTAGTTTTATCATATATTCAATAGCCAATGCAGGACAAGGCCCTCTCATTACTGTCCTTTATTTTTATATATTTATTATCCAGATGAACACTATAATAATTTTATCCTATACAAAAGAAAAAATACCATTGAAATTTTCACTGGAATTGCCTTAAATTTATAGACCAATCTGCTACAATTTGACATGACCATTTCCTACGGCCTTAGGGAAACTGTTGTCAGGTGCCATCAAGTTGTCTACAACTCATAGTGACCTTCTGTATAACAGAACAAAACTTTGTACAGTTCTGTACCGTCTTAATGATCGTTGGTATGTTTGAGTCCATTGTTTTGGCTATTGTGTCAATCTCTCTCATTGAGGGGTTCCCTTATGAAAACCTTAGTGAAACTATCAGCGCTTTATGTTGGGCCTCAGACGTTTCATTTTAAGTGTATTTCTAAATATTATCTGTTGTTGTTCTTATCAATATTGTGATAAGATTTTTTCATCTGTTTTATTTTCTAACCGGATGTTTCAGGAATATAGGAAAGATACTGACTTTGCTTCTTTATTTTGTACCCCAGCCTCCTCCTAGAACTCTCTTACTCTTTCTTATAGTTTTTCACTTGATTTTTTTGGGTTTTCCAGGTGAATGATCATGTCATCTATAAATATTCTTTTGCCTCTTCCTCTTCAATACATATGCTTTTCATTTTACTCTTTTGTCTAATTGCACTGGTCAGTACTTCTAGAGCAGGGTCAGGCAGTATCGTGTTTGACAGATGTGTCTTATTCCTGACCTAAAGGGCCGTCCTGGTGTTCCACCATTAAGGCTTATATAATGTTTATAAAGTTAAAGTATATAACTCTATGGATTTAAAATATCTTGTTGATGTTTAATTTTATTAAAGACCTTGTCATGGATTGAATTGTGTCCCCCCAAAATATCTGTCAGTTTGGCTAGGCCATCATTCCCAGTATAGTGTGATTGTCCACCATTTTGTCATCTGATGTGATTTTCCTATGTGTTGTAAATCCTGTCTCTGTGATGCTGATGAGATGGATTAGCAGCAGTTAAATTAATGAGGCAGGACTCAATCTACAAGATTGAACTGTGTCTTGAGCCAAACTCTTTTGAGATATAAAAGGGAGAAGCCAGCAGAGAGACGGAGGACCTCATACCATCAAGAAAGTAATGCCAGAAGAAGAGTATGTCCTTTGGACCCGGAGTCCCTGTGCTGAGAAGCTCCTAGTCCAGGGGAAGATTGATGACAAAGACCTTTTTCCAGAGCCAACAGAAAGGGAAATCCTTCCCCCTGGAGTTGACACCCTGAGTTTGGACTTCTAGCCTCCTAAACTGTGAGAGAATAAATTTCTCTTTGTTAAAGGCATCCACTTTTGGTATTTTTGTTATGCAGCCCTGGATAACTAAGACAGACCTCTTCAGGATCTTTTAAGAAATTAAATGTTTTTTCTCTTTTGCCATATTAATATGATGAATTATTTAATAGATTTTCTAATAATAAGTCAGCCTTTCATTCCTAGAATGACTGTCACTTGGTCATGGTATATTATTCTTTCAATATACTGCTAGTGGCAGACAGAATTTTGATCCCCTTTGCCCCCTGACATCATGTCCGTGAATATCTTATGTTACATGACAAAAGGGCTTTGTAGATGTAATTACAGTTACTGACCAACTGACCTTAAAATAGAGAGGTTAGCCTGGATTATGTGGTTGGACCCAATATAGTCATACGAGCTCTTAAAAGCAGAGCTTTCTCTCGACTGAGGACAGAAAAGAAAATCAGAGAGATTACAAGCATGAGAAGGATTTGACACACAATTGCTGGCTCAAAGATGGAGGGAGCCACGTGGAAAGTGTGAGAAGGAAATGGATTCTTCTAACAACCAGTGATCTTGGAAAAAGACCCCAGGTCCCAGATGAGAACTGCAGCCCTGGTGGACACCTTGATCTTAGTCCAGTGAGACCTGTGCTGAACTTGTGATCTACAGAAACTGTGAGCTAGTAAATTTGTGTGTTTTTTGAGCATTTACTTTTATGGGAATTTATTATGGCAGCAGTCAAAAACTAATACACTGCTGGATTGTATTTGCTACATTTTTTTTATTAATATGCATATTGTAGTATGAGTCTGAATTTTTGTGTGTGTGTGCTTTGTCAGACTGTTAGTATTCGTGATATGATAACTTCATAAATTTTCATACTTTCTCCATATCTGGAATAGTTTTAAAACTTTAGCAGTAAGCATTCCTTGGAGCTGGCACCTTGAGGGAGAGACAGGCTGTTAACAGTTTGATTTCATTCATGGCGTTTGGTCAGTTTGAACTTCCTGTCTTGTGCAATTGGTCTTTTTCTAGAAAATCATCCCTTTCATCAGTGCCTTTAAAAGTTTTAACATGATTTTCAAATCTTTTTTTTTTTTTTTATTTCTTCTGTATCTGTAGTTATTTCCTCTTTATTATTGCTAATTTTATATATTTGTGTTTTCTTCCTTTTTGGGGATTAGTTTAACTGGTAGATTGTCTTTCTTATGGATTTTTTCACCAATAGATGGGCTTGGATTTATTTATCGATCTGGTATCTTCCCTGTATTCTTTATTCATGAATTTCTGCTTCTCTTTATTAATGACTTCTCCTTATGTTGGGTTTATTTGGTTATTTTTCTCAAATTATGAGTAAAGTACATAATTCACTTATTTTCTGTTATTTCTTGTTTGATACTGAAAATGTTTAAGACTTTGAAGTGTCTTTTCTTTACAACCTTAGCCATGTCTCATATTTTTCATGTATAGTGTTTTCATTACTTATTTATTCTTTTTAGATATTCTGAATGTATGGTTAAATTTTCTCTTTCATCTGAGAGGTGTTTGGGAGAGTTTTAAAATTTACAGCTAGTTGACATTTTGTTGCTATTGTTTCAACTTTCACTATTAGTTTCTCATTTTAGTGCAGAGTACAGAGAATGTATTTAAGTATAAGCTCTACTTTTTAGAATGTATAAGATTTATTCTGTGAATAATTGTTTAAATGTTCTATGGGCATTTGAAAAGAATGTGTATTTTTAATTTAAAGTTAAAGAATTAAATATAAATTAGGTCAAACTTAATTTTATAATTTAGACCCCGTATATCCTTACCTTATTTTTTTGTTGTTGTCGTCTTTTGGTTTGTTTGTTTGGTTGCTTGCTTTTGGTCTATCAGCTTGTCAAGGCGTAAGAGATTTGTCAAATTTCCCGTTAATATTGTACGTCTCTTGATTTTTGTGTGTGTGTGTTTCCTGCAGTTTTTGCTTTATATGATTTGGTGCTATGTTATTCAGCACATTAAGGTTTATGTCACTATGTGTTCATTGTAAAATGTACTCTTGATGAAAGCGACTGTCTGTGTCAGAACTTCCACTTGGCTACTCCAACATTCATTGTACCTTTTCTACTTAGTAATAAAACATCAATTTTCAGTGGAGCACCTTGATATCTGAAAAAAACAAGATTCTGTTTTCCAGGCTCTTTTACAGCTATATGGAACCATGTGATTAAGTTCTGACCAATGAGATACAAATATAAATTTGAGTGATACTTCCAGAAAACCTGCTTTAAGGATGCTAACTCATCTGGAAAGAGACCTTTTTGTCCTTTTTGTTTTTTCTTTCTTTTTGTTTTTCTTAAAGGTAATAATCACCTTTTTTCATTTGCCTACTTTTTTTTTTGTACCTATTAGCTACTTCTTTCCATACTTTATAATAACCTCTCAGAACCGTTTTCCACACATTATGTAATCTGTTAGTTCCAGTTTTTTCTTGGTCACTTCCATTCTTCTCTTTGTTTGGACTGGTTCTTCCTAGGCTTACTTCATGGCTCTTCTTCTGAGACTTCCCTTCACTGTTATCAAAGCCTTTCTTCTGAGCTGGAGTCCCTGTTCCTGAATCACATGTCTTTCTCTTCCTTGTATACACTGTTACTTTAGTGGAGCGTATCCTCCAGTTGATTTTCAAGTTAAAAAGCAGCAGTAGGCTGTTATACCCTCAACACATCTGCTCCAAACTGAATAGGTCACCTTCTTCTCCTGGTGCACAGCTGTTATCCTGGAATGCCCGTTCACTACCACCCTGAAGATTTCCTTCATCTCTGTTCCATGTTGGATATCTTGTTTCTATATCCCATGAGTTTGTTTTTCTTGGTTTACTCTTTTGTTTTGGTGGAGCACATCCATCAGTAGCTTCCTAAGAAAGCTTGCATGGGAGTAAGTTTTTTGAGACCTTGCATGCCTGAAAGTGTCTTCATTTTACCCTCATGCTTGCTGGATAGTTTGGTTGGGTGAGGAGTTATAGGCTGGAAATCATCTTCCCTCAGAATTTTGAACCCCAGAGTTGCTGTTAAGTCCAATACCAGTCTGATTCCTAATCCTTTGTATGTGATTTTTCGCTCTCTCTTTCTCTGGAAGGTTGTAGGATCTTCC